ACATCACCGACAGTATTTTCACATGATAAATATTTGTTAATGCCAAGATCCAACCAAAAAAGTAATTTCATTTAACAGTTCCCTTTCTTTTGTAAAACTTTAGTTATTGCGTATCATACTCTTCTTTGCTGTTCTTGTTTGTCGCCCTTTTTTTTTAACTCTACTAAACCTGCCTGAACCCAGGGTTGATGTCGATTAAACTCGTGGGGTTTGATTGAATCTCGAGTAAACTCGACAAACTCTACTAGCCCGAGTTGGAGCCGGAATCGAAGTAGGCCCGTAAGTTAGGAGATTCCGCATGTTGAAGGTAGTATTTTACAATGAAAATGACCAATTTGTGCACCCTGAAATTTATGATTGAGGAAAACAATGAGATAAAGGTTGGTTATTTATTGAATAAACATATGTTGAAATTTTAGTTACACATCAGTACACAAATTAACAAGAAAGAATTTCTTCCAAGGGAGATAATCCAATAAAAAATATCATTTCAGAAAATTATAACTAGAGGCTCTCAAGAGCCTGTGTCGCTCACCTGATTCTACTTTGGTTTTGGAAATCATGTAAAAATATATTAAAATCATAACAGATACCCTAATAATGATTGAGGCCAAATTTGGTTTAATATTGGCCCCGTTATTTAATTAAAAGCAGAAGACTTTTGTAAGGTTTACAGAAATTACCAATAAATTCATTGAAATTGTAGAAAATGACTTTATGAGGACTATGACAAATCAGCTACAAAGTAACAACACTTGGTCAGCACCTCAAAAGAAACATTCATATCATGTTTGGTTTCAATCCATTAAGCAGTTTTCTAGAAGAAGACATTTGTATATATTTCCCATAGGGTCCGTTGTTAAACTAAGTCCCCCATTGGCAGCCAGCTTGGTTGATGGATTTGCTACAAAGTAACAACATTTGGTCAGCACCTCATAAGGAACATTCATGACATGTTTTATTTCATTCCATTTAGTGGTTCTCTAAAAGTAGACATTTATATGTATTTCCCATAGGGTCCTATGTTAAACTAAATACCCCGCTGGCGGCCATCTTGGATGATGGATCGGCTTCAAAGTAACAACACTTGGTCAGCACCTCATAAGGAACATTCATGCTATGTTTGGTTTCATTCCATTCAGTGGTTCTCTAAAAGAAGACATTTGTATGTATTGTCTATATGGTCCTATGTTAAACGAAGTCCCCCGCTGGCGGCCATCTTGGATGATGTTCTTTTGGTATGAATGTTTCTTTTGAGGTGCTGACCAAGTGTTGTTACTTTGTAGCTGATTTGTCATCCAAGATGGCTGCCAGCAGGGGGAGTAAGTTTAATTTGGACCCTATGGGAAATGCATACAAATGTTTTCTTCTAGAGAACCACTGAATATAATAAAACCAAACATGGCATGAATGGTCCTAATGAGGTGCTGACCAACTGTTGTTACTTTGTAGCCGAACCATCACCAAGATGGCCGCCAGCAGGGGACTTAGTTTAACATAAGACCCTATGGGAAATACATAGAGATGCTTCTACTAGAGGAGCACTGAATGGAATGAAACCAAACATGGCATAAATGTTCCTTATGAGGTGCTAATGAAGACCTTAATACGTGTATCTTTATTGATTGAGATATACTGTCAACTGGAAAAATATCAAGAAAAGAAGATCTACACATAAGTCAACATGAGCAAAATTGTCAATTGACATCTTGTTGGAGTTATTGTCCTTATAAATGTTAAACAATTTCAATGAATTTATTGGTAATATCTGTAAACTTTAAAAAAGTCTTCTGCTTTTGATTAAATTACGGGGCCAATATTAAACCAAATTTAGCCTCAATCATTATTAGGGTATCTGTTATGATTTTAATATATTTTTAAATGATTTCCAAAACCAAAGTAGGATCAGGTGAGCGACAAAGGCTCTTGAGAGCCTCTAGTTTTTATACTTTCTAGAATTCTTATAGAAAATGCCTTAATTTACATTTTCTCTCATTGAATCAAGGAATTTAAAGCATCAATCTACAGACAATTTTTGAATTTTCAAAAGCATTATATAATGATTAACAAGGGTAATCAAAGGTTAAACAATTACCATTTATCTGATGCAATAAATATCAATTTTCTATAGTACAAAGGGAGATAATCCAGTAAAAATCCATTTTTTCAAAATTTTAAAAGTACATAGTTTATAACTTACCTGCTCTTGGTCCATTTAAAATATAAACATACCTCCATTTGTATTGTAATTGAAAAGGTTGATAATGCATATTAGCTTATAAAATGTGTAGTCACTTGTTTTTGTACTTTCTGGAGTTCATTAAAATACTTAAATGTTCTATTTCTCTCAATGAATGAATTAAATTAGATAGATAATTTTGGAAAAGCATTATAATATTTAAAAAAGTTAGTCAAAGTAACAATCCACATAGTAGATGTAAGTTTAATAGATTCATTTTATAGTACAATTCAAGCGTGGACAACAAAAAAAAATCTACATCTTCCCGAATATGCAATAAATATTACAAATCCCTGTTACGAGGATATTTGGCATTTTTATCATGCCTTACTCCGCTAGTGCATGGTTTTATATTATCTTGTAATAGTTTATTGTCAGACTTTTAAACGTGGAACTGTTTACAAAACTAGACCAATACCGGGCCTGTAGATCTGCGTCGCTGCATGCAATTGATTGAGGTAACATGTATACCGGAGCATAACTGATCATTCCAAGACCAAATATTAAAATAAGTCACTTCAAAAGGAGCCAAGGAATGTTTGACGAAAATTTTCCTTGCACAATGATTTGTGAAATTTCCTTAAACTACCGGCAAACAGGAAGTCGCTACACAGCAGATGTAAAAATTGCTTACTTGCTACAACTCAACATTATCAAGATGTAGACCAAATATTAAATTATTCCCTTTTATAGAAGCTAAAGAAACTTTGACGAAAATTCCTTGTACAATGAATGTTGTAAAATTTTAAACTATCGGCAGACAGAAATGGCTACACGGCAGATGTAAAAATTGCTTACTCGCTACAACTCCACATTATCAAGCTGTAGACCAAATATTAAATCATTACCTTTTATATAAGATAAGAAAATTTTGACGACAATTTTCCTAGTATAATGAGTATTGTAAAATTTCAAAGTATCGTCAACCAGAAAGTGGCCACACGGCAGTTACAAAAATTACTACTCGCTACAACTCAATATTTTGCAGGCCAAAAAATAAAAGCATTCCCTTTCAAAGAAGCCATGAAAACTTTAACGAAAGTTTTCTTTCAGACGGATGGACGGACGGACGAACGAACGGCGACGTAGCTAAAAAAATAATGAGTGCTTCAAGTAGATAAATCTAAGTGGGTTAGAGAGCTCTAAAGAGCTTATGTTAATCTGCAAAAATGAAAACCAGAAATAATAAAGACTACTTTACTTTACTTTACTTTTTGTTGACATATACCCAACATCACCTTCTAAGACTAAAACATATTACGATCAGATGAGCCTGCATTGACTGCCAGAGAAACGCAATTTATAATAGTTATAAGTATAAACTGAGAATGTATCTAGTTTTACCTTGGTTCGTGTTTCTCGACCTTTAGGTCTCGGCTGAATATGTTTTGTGTCGTTATTGATTATTCTTACATCATGATGACACAAGTAACACAACAGATTCTACTAGTGAAGCAGGAATCAGGATAAAACCCCGTTTTGGTGGTGTTTGTATTGGTTATATAATCTTAAGTTTTCTAAATGGTGTTTTGTGAACTGGGTGTCGTTTGTCTTTTCGTCTTTTTGCACATGGTTTTGTCTGTTTTTCTTCGACTTATGGTTTTGTCTGTTTTTCTTCGACTTATGGTTTTGAGTCCCTTTTGGTATCTTCTTATTATTTTCATCATATTTTACAACGAATATGTCTTTAGAATCATATTAACTTACTGCCTTTTAAATCCTTTAATAAAAAACATTTAGATACATTATTTATGTACACAAGTATAATATCTATATAGACATGAACCAATTCAGGCTTTGATTTAAAGTTTATAGTTTTGACAATATAAATATAAATGTTATTTGTATTGTCATTAAGAATCAATCAAAAAAAGGTTATACATTTCTGTTCGCTATGGAGATTCCGTATATCGTCAAGTTTTTGGAATTCCAATAGGGACTAACTTTGCACCACTTATTGCAGACCTGTTTCTGTATTGTTACGAGTTACAATTTATGACTAAAGTCAGTAAAGACCCATCGAAACAACATCTGACACATAAATTTAATAACACTTTTAGATAGTTGGATGATATATTGGCTCTCAATAATGACGACTTCAGTACGTACACTAAAGAGATTTATCCTGCTTTAAATAAAGCTAATACTAACAATAAACACTGCCATTTCCTGTGTCTTGATATCTATATCTTTAACGGGAAGATTAATACCAAAATTTATGATAAAAGAGATGATTTTTCATTTCATATTGTTTTAAAATTATCCATTTTTAGATGGTGACGTTTCCTTGTTATTATATATTGGCTCTCAATAATGACATGTTAAACATGTTTAACCCCGCCGCATTTTTGTGCCTGTCCCAAGTCAGGAGCCTCTGGTCTTTGTTACATAGGCACTTGTCTCAGAAAAAAATTTCCTATATACCTTAATATAACAGGTATATAGGGGAAAAAAATTCTGAGACAAGTGCCTGTGATTTGTTAGTCTTGTATGTTTTTTAATTTTAGTTCATTTATATTTTTTGGAGTTTAGCGTGACGTCCATTTTCATTGAACTAGTACACATTTTTGTTTAGGAGCCACCTTAAGCCCGCCTCTGGGTGCGGGATTTTCTCGCTGTGTTGAAGACCCATTGGTGGCCTTCGGCTGTTTTCTGCTCTTTGGTTGGGTTGTTGTCTCTTTGACACATTCCCCATTTCCATTCTCAATTTTATATAAACAATGTGGACCAAATCATGATGGTCCATTAAGACAAGACGGAATAAGTTGTATATAGAGTTTAATGCAATAAAAGAAGCTAATCATATCAATTATTTGTATCAGTCTGTTTATCAAATTTCAAATCAGTTTCCGTTCTTCATTAGACCAAGTATTACTGTGAAGATATCCGCTAATCATCACTATTACAAGTCCTGAAAAATATTCCAAATAATAAAATAAATAGTTATGCTTGAAGTAAATTCATTCATCCAATAATTCATTCATTCATTCATTCATTACTTCTTATGCTTTACAAGTGCAAATATATAATAGTCAAAAAGTGCTTGCATCTAATATATTCCAGTGAACTAAGAGATTAAGGATACTACCGGCAATATAAAAGTCTGCCTCATATCTTGATTTTTCCTCGATATTGACACAGATGGACGACTTATCAAATTCCCATTTCTCAGGAGTAACATCCCCTCTGACCAATCTAATGGCGTTCACATATCTCATTTGATACGTTACGCTCGTGCCTGTTCACACTAAACGCTATCGTAACTCGCTTTTTCCTTACACAAAAACTGCTCAAACGGAGTTATGAGGAAGAACGACTGAAATCAACACTGTACATATGTTTTACGGTCACCATCACGAATTTGATGTTCGATACGACATGTATGTGTTTCAACTCACTGGCGACATGTTTTTTTCATACTTAGATCTTTAGGTACTAGAACAGTTTTCTAATCTGTAACTACACCGACTGTGTCCTATCTAAACATGCTAAACATTGTGTCCTATCTAAACATGCTAAACATTGTGTCCTATCTAAACATGCTAAAGATTGTGTCCTATCTAAACATGCTAAAGATTGTATCCTATCTAAACATGCTAAAGATTGTCTCCTATCTAAACATGCTAAAGATTGTGTCCTATCTAAACATGCTAAAGATTGTGTCCTATCTAAACATGCTAAAGATTGTTTCCTATCTAAACATGCTAAAGATTGTGTCCTATCTAAACATGCTAAAGATTGTGTCCTATCTAAACATACTAAAGATTGTGTCCTATCTAAACATGCTAAACATTGTGTCCTATCTAAACATGATAAAGATTGTGTCCTATCTAAACATGCTAAAGATTGTGTCCTATCTAAACATGCTAAAGAGTGTGTCCTATCTAAACATGCTAAAGATTGTGTCCTATCTAAACATGCTAAACATTGTGTCCTATCTAAACATGCTAAACATTGTGTCCTATCTAAACATGCTAAAGATTGTGTCCTATCTAAACATGCTAAAGATTGTGCCCTATCTAAACATACTAAAGATTGTGTCCTATTTAAACATGCTAAAGATTATGTCCTATCTAAACATACGAAAGATTGTGCCCTATCTAAACATGCTAAAGATTATGTCCTATCTAAACATACTAAAGATTATGTTCTATCTAAACATACTAAAGATTGTGTCCTATCTAAACATGCTAAAGATTGTGTCCTATCTAAACATGCTAAAGATTGTCACATTTTGCCTGAGTGTGGATTCGCATGGTGGGTGATGCATCTATAGCAGGAGACGCTTACACTATCGATGCACCCGGTCTCGCTCCTTTTGGAATACGTGAAATTCCATCAGTTTGTGTTTGTTATCTTGATTTGTCTTCTTAGTCGATTAATGATACTTGAACAGCTGTAAACTAGTTTTGCTTTAATTTGCTAACAAATAGTAAACTTGTGACTGTAAACCAAAAAAATACCTAAACCTGAGAGTTCTCGTTACATTATCATCTCTTTCTCTCACACTCTCTCTCATTGATGTATGCTTTACAAACCGATACTTACTTCCTCTGACAAATGTAATTCCGAAAATCTGAGCACCGAAGATCATCCCAGCGATATGATTTCTCTTTCCATAGCTGGAGACAGTCTTGGTTAGTTTTCCATCCACCATTGTTTGGTTCCCTATATGCCCAGTCAGTATACTCGACCTGGTTTCCTGATGTCCAGGTCCACACTCCTTCTTGGGCCAGATCTGATGCCCCTACCCACCAACCTGATTGGTATTCATGAAGAATTTGTCATTTTCATATTATGTTTCTTTGGAAAACAGATGTAATTTATGGATGATCTGATTTGCGTTCATTTGACCAAAATGTTGTTATCCCGCAAAAAGAGGGTGATGTATAATTTACAACCCAAAATGACTTCCAATGTTGTAGGAATTATAGTCGGCCATCAACACTTATTGATGGAAATTACTGACCCTGTATAGATAATAACTCCAAAGGGTTGCAATATATAAACCTATCCCAGTCACCCCATACTGACGTACACTAAATCATTTAGATTCGTAGTAAAGTTTTTGACATCCATATGCATGCCACGAGGTATCGCCAACAGGCACTTGTCTCTGAAAAAAATTTACCTACATACTTTAATATAACACGTGTTGTATTAAAGTATATAGGTTTGGTTTTTTTTCAGAGATAAGTGCCTGTGCTTTAACCTTTTGTATTTAAACTAGCCAATGATATGTATGCTATATATATAATGATCTGATTTACTAATGTCATTTAATGTGGTACATAACACTACAGGGAGATAACTGTTAATCGCGTTCTATTGTTAAGGAAATATCAAGCTTCTCGATGATCAAAATTAGGGTTTGTCAAACTGCTATATAGCCAATGAAATTTTTCCGATAAAGTGTGTGGTTCAAGTTTTTTGATTTTTTTATATTTTTGTCAAAGGGTCAAAATAAATATTTTGTCAAAATTTTATGAAAATTAAACGAGCCAAATTAGTTTTAGTCGAGGTGTTTGGTACCACCTTAAACAATCATCGTATATATTATTATTGCTTCAAGTGTTCACAACAAACTGTATTTACCTGATCCACCTCTTCGGCTGGCTTGACGTCTTAACCAGGCTCCAACATTCTGAGAATAAACTTCAGCCAATCTTCCACCACGTGACAAACAGTCTTGCTTCAAATAAAAAGTATAATTTTATTTTAATTATTTCAAAAAATTTATTCGCAATAGATTACATTCCTAATCTGTTATAGGGGTTATAATAATGAGCAAAAACATAAGAATAACGGACGAAAATTAAAAAAAAATAGAGGAAAATGTGCAAAGAAATAAAGAATGGAGAATAATTGGATGCTAAAATATAAAGAATGGGGACTAACGGGCGTAAAATAAAGAATTGCGAAAAATGTTCTAAAAAATAAAGAATACAAAAATGAAGACCCCCTTCCAGAAATGAAGACACCTCTTTCCAGACATTCCTGTTCAACAAAGGGAATAAGGATACTGAAATATTTGTAAAATTTCACTTTACAGAGATAATTTCAAATAATAAAACAAAGAAGAAGACTAATAAAGATAAAATAAAATAAATAAACTGAAAATAACCTCCAAATAATATAAATCATTTTGATATATGCATTTAATGAACCTTATTATATATTTAATTTATATCGCATTTAATTTCAAATTTTGAGCTTCGATTTTTTTTTATGTCTGTTCCAAGTTTTGTATCTGGACCACATGTTTTAGTTGGTGTTTGTTGTTTGTAGGTCTATTTTTCGGAGAACTCGGGTGTTAACGATTGGTATGGTCTGTTGTACTGTCCAATATATTTTGGGAAATTCAAATTTAAACGTTCTGACTTTGCCTCGTTGATGTACATTTTATATTTATACCGACCGTGCAAGACCCTCTTGGGTAGTCAAGGTCGTTAAAAAAAGGCAGTGGCTATTTTGCCGGCACCGGCACCGTCGTCGTCGTTATATTTATCTTTATCCGGGGCAACAACATTCAGAGACAGACGTTAGGAAACTTAAGGTTATATAAACTCATATATATATAGAAAGTTATATTTGCACAAAGTGCCTTTAATGTCGTACTTTGTCTAAAAGTATTTACCTGAGCATTGTTCCAGTTTATCGCGTTTTCAACGAACATGTAATACTTTCCATCATAAAGTGTCCAATCATTTGCAGAAATTGCACAAACTGAAAATTGAAGAAGTAAACATTATCCATATACATCATATATTATTTTCCTCTGGCAACATATCATTTATTTCATTTCTAAAACATGTAATAATGTACAAAATATCACTACCCACGAAATGAATAGTAACAACAAATTCAATAAATATACATTGTCAACGTATATTTGTTCCGCCTAACCGAAGTTCCTTTTGAAACTTTGTTATAATCTGTACTCTTTGTTCCAGTGGAAATAATATTTCAGAATATTTCTTCTACATGGAACTTATAACATAATAATATCATAAAGGAACTTCTATATCATGACAACATTACAGTGATAGTGAGATACCAGAAAAATTAAAGATGCTATTTCGCTCCTTCGAGGTTCGAACCCCCGACAGCCAAGAATTATCACTTTACCGCCAGCCCTGTATTCAAAATGGAGAGGGACAACTATACACTCGATTTTACTAGGTCGGTACGTTACACAAGCAGGAATAACAACATCTTTTTGAAATAAGCTCACCACTAAAACTCGCCATCTCATTCCTTTTTAACGTTTTCATGCTAATATTTTCACTTTTCTTCTATTTTTGGAAAGCGGCACATTGATAGGAAAAAAAGCATTTAGAAAATTACAAATATCAAAATAAGTTTAAAGAAAATATCAGCAAACAAATAGAAAAAGAAAATATTGCCCCCCGAGGACATTTTTTTATAAGACTAAAGACTAGACCTGACGTAAGAAACACAATCACATGACACAGTATGACAATTATAAATTAACACGTAGAAATTACTAAGAGCTAATACAATTCAAATTAAAGTTATTTTATGAACCTCACCAAAGGTCACAAAGACGGGCATATAAATCATAACAAATACATGTAATGTGTTTAAATGTAGAGATTTTCCAAGAGCTAAATTGACAGTGTCATCTCTAAAATGGCTTTCATTTTCGTGATTGAAAAATCATTACGTGCAAAAGGGAAACAATTTTGACGAATTGGAATTATGCCTGTGTCGAGTTATTTTTTAACTTACCTTGACAATCTTTACCCGAAAACCCATTCAAGCATTTGCACTGGTAACCGGAACTAGAATCAGTGCACGTCCCGCCATTCAAACATGGATTCGTACTGCAGGTTTCAACTAGAACAAAAAATTGAAAAGCGTACAAAGAATTTTGAATTAATGTCATATGCCACTTTTTTTAACATTTTCCAGGAGGTAAATTGACAGCGTCATCTCTAAAAGGCTTCCATTTTCATGGTTCAAAAATGTCACTACGTGTTATTGGAAGACAATTGTGACCAGGTGGAATTATGCCTGTGTTAAGCCATTTCTTTTAACTTACCTTGACAATCTTTACCCGAATATCCATTCAAGCATTTGCAATGGTAACTTGAACTAGAAACAGTGCACGTCCCGCCATTCAAACATGGATTCTTACTGCAGGGATTAACTAGAAGAAAATGGAATAAAAGTGAAAATATGTCAAACGTACAAAGCATTTTGGATTAAAGTCATAAGAAGCCAGTTTATAAATATGTGATTTCTTCAATATTACACAAAACACTCACGCTTTCGTCTAAAACATTTGTCATCTTTTACAGATCGTTAAGATGGAATGTGAATATTTTCCAAGAGCTATAAAATTGACAAGCGTCATCTCTAAAATGGCTTCCATTTATATGATCGAAAAAAATCCTTGCGTGCATGTAATTGGGAGACAATTTTGACGAAGTGGAATTATGCCTGTGTTTAGCCATTTTTATACGACCGCAAAAATTTTTTTGTGGTCGTATATTGGTATGACGTTGGCGTCGTCGTCGTCGTCGTCGTCGTCGTCGTCGTCCGGCGTCGTCCAGCGTCGTCGTCCGAAGACTCATTAGTTTTCGCACTCTAACTTTAGTTTAAGTGAATGGATCTCTATGAAATTTTACCACAAAAGGAAGGTGGGGATTGATTTTGGGGGTTATGGTACCAACAGTTAAGGAATTAGGGGCCAAAAAGGGGCCAAAAATAAGCATTTTCTAGTTTCCAGACAATAACTGTGGAACGGTGTATGGATATCTCTGAAATTATACTACAAGTTTCCATACCACAAAGGGATGGTTAGGATTTGCTTTGGGGGGTTTTGCTCAAACCGTTTAAGAATTAGGGGCAAAAAAGGGAGAAAAGCAAGGTTGTCCTCATTAATGGACAAATACTTTAGTACAAAACATAATTTAAAGCAGTGTAAGGGAGATAAATCAAAAACATCATTGAAATTATCTCCCTTACACTGCTTTTAAATTATGTATAAAGTAATGGTTAATGAACAATTAAGATAATTTAAAACAGTGTAAGGGAGGTAATCCAAATACAACGTTTTGGTTACTTCCCTTACACTGCTTTTAAATTATGTTTAAAGAAATGCATATTTATAAAGGAAGACCAGTATGGCGCATTAGATTTGTAAAATCTTTGACCACATTTATTTATTTGTTATGCCGAATCTAACCGTGTATTTAGATTTTTAATTTCGGGTCCAGTTTTCAAATTGGTCTACATTAAGGTCCAAAGGGTCCAAAATTAAACTTTGTTTGATTTTAACAAAAATTGAATATATGGGGTTCTTTGATATGCTGAATCTAAACATGTATTTAGATTTTTGATTTCTGGCCCAGTTTTCAAGTTGGTCCAAATTAGGGTCCAAAATTAAACTTTGTTTGATTTCAACAAAAATTGAATACATGGGGTTCTTTGATATGCTGAATCTAACCATGTATTTAGATTTTTTATTTGTGGACCCCGCTATCATATTGGTTCATATTGAGGTCAAAAGGGTCCAAAATTAAACTTTGTTTGATTTCATCAAAAATTGAATTATTGGGGTTCTTTGATATGCCAAATCTAACCGTGTATTTAGATTTTTAATTTTGGGTCCCGTTTTTTTAAATTGGTCTACATTAAGGTCCAAAGGGTCCAAAATTAAACTTAGTTTGATTTTAACAAAAATTGAATCCTTGGGGTTCTTTGATATGCTGAATCTAAACATGTGTTTAGATTTTTGATTATGGGCCCAGTTTTCAAGTTGGTCCAAGTTGGGGTCAAAAATTAAACTTTGTTTGATTTCAACAAAAATTGAATATATGGGATTCTTTGATATGCTGAATCTAAACATGTATTCAGATTTTAGATTTTTGGCCCAGTTTTCAAGTTTGTCCAAATTGGGGTCCAAAATTAAACTTTGTTTGATTTCAACAAAAATTGAATATATGGGGTTCTTTGATATGCTGAATCTTACCATGTATTTAGATTTTTTATTTGTGGGCCCGCTATCAAATTGGTTCATATTGAGGTCAAAAGGGTCCAAAATTAAACTTTGTTTGATTTCATCAAAAATTTAATTATTGGGGTTCTTTGATATGCCAAATCTAACCATGTATTTAGATTTTTTAAAATGTGCAAAGAAATAAAGAATGGAGAATAATTGGATGCTAAAATATAAAGAATGGGGACTAACGGGCGTAAAATAAAGAATTGCGAAAAATGTTCTAAAAAATAAAGAATACAAAAATGAAGACCCCCTTCCAGAAATGAAGACACCTCTTTCCAGACATTCCTGTTCAACAAAGGGAATTAGGATACTGAAATATTTGTAAAATTTCACTTTACAGAGATAATTTCAAATAATAAAACAAAGAAGAAGACTAATAAAGATAAAATAAAATAAATAAACTGAAAATAACCTCCAAATAATATAAATCATTTTGATATATGCATTTAATGAACCTTATTATATATTTAATTTATATCGCATTTAATTTCAAATTTTGAGCTTCGATTTTTTTTTATGTCTGTTCCAAGTTTTGTATCTGGACCACATGTTTTAGTTGGTGTTTGTTGTTTGTAGGTCTATTTTTCGGAGAACTCGGGTGTTAACGATTGGTATGGTCTGTTGTACTGTCCAATATATTTTGGGAAATTCAAATTTAAACGTTCTGACTTTGCCTCGTTGATGTACATTTTATATTTATACCGACCGTGCAAGACCCTCTTGGGTAGTCAAGGTCGTTAAAAAAAGGCAGTGGCTATTTTGCCGGCACCGGCACCGTCGTCGTCGTTATATTTATCTTTATCCGGGGCAACAACATTCAGAGACAGACGTTAGGAAACTTAAGGTTATATAAACTCATATATATATAGAAAGTTATATTTGCACAAAGTGCCTTTAATGTCGTACTTTGTCTAAAAGTATTTACCTGAGCATTGTTCCAGTTTATCGCGTTTTCAACGAACATGTAATACTTTCCATCATAAAGTGTCCAATCATTTGCAGAAATTGCACAAACTGAAAATTGAAGAAGTAAACATTATCCATATACATCATATATTATTTTCCTCTGGCAACATATCATTTATTTCATTTCTAAAACATGTAATAATGTACAAAATATCACTACCCACGAAATGAATAGTAACAACAAATTCAATAAATATACATTGTCAACGTATATTTGTTCCGCCTAACCGAAGTTCCTTTTGAAACTTTGTTATAATCTGTACTCTTTGTTCCAGTGGAAATAATATTTCAGAATATTTCTTCTACATGGAACTTATAACATAATAATATCATAAAGGAACTTCTATATCATGACAACATTACAGTGATAGTGAGATACCAGAAAAATTAAAGATGCTATTTCGCTCCTTCGAGGTTCGAACCCCCGACAGCCAAGAATTATCACTTTACCGCCAGCCCTGTATTCAAAATGGAGAGGGACAACTATACACTCGATTTTACTAGGTCGGTACGTTACACAAGCAGGAATAACAACATCTTTTTGAAATAAGCTCACCACTAAAACTCGCCATCTCATTCCTTTTTAACGTTTTCATGCTAATATTTTCACTTTTCTTCTATTTTTGGAAAGCGGCACATTGATAGGAAAAAAAGCATTTAGAAAATTACAAATATCAAAATAAGTTTAAAGAAAATATCAGCAAACAAATAGAAAAAGAAAATATTGCCCCCCGAGGACATTTTTTTATAAGACTAAAGACTAGACCTGACGTAAGAAACACAATCACATGACACAGTATGACAATTATAAATTAACACGTAGAAATTACTAAGAGCTAATACAATTCAAATTAAAGTTATTTTATGAACCTCACCAAAGGTCACAAAGACGGGCATATAAATCATAACAAATACATGTAATGTGTTTAAATGTAGAGATTTTCCAAGAGCTAAATTGACAGTGTCATCTCTAAAATGGCTTTCATTTTCGTGATTGAAAAATCATTACGTGCAAAAGGGAAACAATTTTGACGAATTGGAATTATGCCTGTGTCGAGTTATTTTTTAACTTACCTTGACAATCTTTACCCGAAAACCCATTCAAGCATTTGCACTGGTAACCGGAACTAGAATCAGTGCACGTCCCGCCATTCAAACATGGATTCGTACTGCAGGTTTCAACTAGAACAAAAAATTGAAAAGCGTACAAAGAATTTTGAATTAATGTCATATGCCACTTTTTTTAACATTTTCCAGGAGGTAAATTGACAGCGTCATCTCTAAAAGGCTTCCATTTTCATGGTTCAAAAATGTCACTACGTGTTATTGGAAGACAATTGTGACCAGGTGGAATTATGCCTGTGTTAAGCCATTTCTTTTAACTTACCTTGACAATCTTTACCCGAATATCCATTCAAGCATTTGCAATGGTAACTTGAACTAGAAACAGTGCACGTCCCGCCATTCAAACATGGATTCTTACTGCAGGGATTAACTAGAAGAAAATGGAATAAAAGTGAAAATATGTCAAACGTACAAAGCATTTTGGATTAAAGTCATAAGAAGCCAGTTTATAAATATGTGATTTCTTCAATATTACACAAAACACTCACGCTTTCGTCTAAAACATTTGTCATCTTTTACAGATCGTTAAGATGGAATGTGAATATTTTCCAAGAGCTATAAAATTGACAAGCGTCATCTCTAAAATGGCTTCCATTTATATGATCGAAAAAAATCCTTGCGTGCATGTAATTGGGAGACAATTTTGACGAAGTGGAATTATGCCTGTGTTTAGCCATTTTTATACGACCGCAAAATTTTTTTTGTGGTCGTATATTGGTATGACGTTGGCGTCGTCGTCGTCGTCGTCGTCGTCCGGCGTCGTCCAGCGTCGTCTTCCGAAGACTCATTAGTTTTCGCACTCTAACTTTAGTTTAAGTGAATGGATCTCTATGAAATTTGACCACAAAAGGAAGGTGGGGATTGATTTTGGGGGTTATGGTACCAACAGTTAAGGAATTAGGGGCCAAAAAGGGGCCAAAAATAAGCATTTTCTAGTTTCCAGACAATAACTGTGGAACGGTGTATGGATATCTCTGAAATTATACTACAAGTTTCCATACCACAAAGGGATGGTTAGGATTTGCTTTGGGGGGTTTTGCTCAAACCGTTTAAGAATTAGGGGCAAAAAAGGGAGAAAAGCAAGGTTGTCCTCATTAATGGACAAATACTTTAGTACAAAACATAATTTAAAGCAGTGTAAGGGAGATAAATCAAAAACATCATTGAAATTATCTCCCTTACACTGCTTTTAAATTATGTATAAAGTAATGGTTAATGAACAATTAAGATAATTTAAAACAGTGTAAGGGAGGTAATCCAAATACAACGTTTTGGTTACTTCCCTTACACTGCTTTTAAATTATGTTTAAAGAAATGCATATTTATAAAGGAAGACCAGTATGGCGCATTAGATTTGTAAAATCTTTGACCACATTTATTTATTTGTTATGCCGAATCTAACCGTGTATTTAGATTTTTAATTTCGGGTCCAGTTTTCAAATTGGTCTACATTAAGGTCCAAAGGGTCCAAAATTAAACTTTGTTTGATTTTAACAAAAATTGAATATATGGGGTTCTTTGATATGCTGAATCTAAACATGTATTTAGATTTTTGATTTCTGGCCCAGTTTTCAAGTTGGTCCAAATTAGGGTCCAAAATTAAACTTTGTTTGATTTCAACAAAAATTGAATACATGGGGTTCTTTGATATGCTGAATCTAACCATGTATTTAGATTTTTTATTTGTGGACCCCGCTATCAAATTGGTTCATATTGAGGTCAAAAGGGTCCAAAATTAAACTTTGTTTGATTTCATCAAAAATTGAATTATTGGGGTTCTTTGATATGCCAAATCTAACCGTGTATTTAGATTTTTAATTTTGGGTCCCGTTTTTTTAAATTGGTCTACATTAAGGTCCAAAGGGTCCAAAATTAAACTTAGTTTGATTTTAACAAAAATTGAATCCTTGGGGTTCTTTGATATGCTGAATCTAAACATGTGTTTAGATTTTTGATTATGGGCCCAGTTTTCAAGTTGGTCCAAGTTGGGGTCAAAAATTAAACTTTGTTTGATTTCAACAAAAATTGAATATATGGGATTCTTTGATATGCTGAATCTAAACATGTATTCAGATTTTAGATTTTTGGCCCAGTTTTCAAGTTTGTCCAAATTGGGGTCCAAAATTAAACTTTGTTTGATTTCAACAAAAATTGAATATATGGGGTTCTTTGATATGCTGAATCTTACCATGTATTTAGATTTTTTATTTGTGGGCCCGCTATCAAATTGGTTCATATTGAGGTCAAAAGGGTCCAAAATTAAACTTTGTTTGATTTCATCAAAAATTTAATTATTGGGGTTCTTTGATATGCCAAATCTAACCATGTATTTAGATTTTTTATTTTGGGTCCCGTTTTTTAAATTGGTCTACATTAAGGTCCAAAGGGTCCAAAATTAAACTTAGTTTGATTTTAACAAAAATTGACTATATGGGGTTCTTTGATATGCTGAATCTAACCATGTATTTTGATTTTGGACATTGGACCATAATAGGTAAATTAAAAAAATTGAAGTTCTTAGACCACATTCTTTCTGTGTCAGAAACCTATGCTGTGTCAAATATTTAATCACAATCCAAATTCAGAGCTGTATCAAGCTTGAATGTTGTGTCCATACTTGCCCCAACTGTTCAGGGTTCGACCTCTGCGGTCGTATCAAGCTGCGCCCAGCGAAGCATTTTATTTAAACTTACCTTGACAATCTTTACCCGAATATCCATTCAAGCATTTGCACTGGTAACTTGAACTAGAAACAGTACATTTCCCGCCATTCAAACATGGATTCTTACTGCAGGGATTAACTTGGAAAACAAAATGATAATATGTCAAACATACAAAGCATATTGGATTAAAATAATAAGCCACTTTTTCTTACATTTTCCATGAGCTAAATTGACAGCGTCATCTCTAAAATGACTTCCATTTTCATGATTGAAAAAAAAACATCATATGTAATTTGGAGAACATTTTTACGGAAGTGGAAATATGCCTGTGTTGAGCCATTTTTTAAACTTACCTTGACAATCTTTACCCGAATATCCATACAAGCATTTGCACTGGTAACTTGAACTAGAAACAGTGCATTTCCCGCCATTCAAACATGGATTCTTACTGCAGGGATTAACTAGAAGAAAATGGAATAAAAGTGAAAATATGTCAAACGTACAAAGAATTTTGGATTAAAGTCATAAGAAGCCAGTTTATAAATATGTGATTTCTTCAATATTACACAAAACACTCACGCTTTCGTCTAAAACATTTGTCATCTTTTACAGATCGTTAAGATGGAATGTGAATATTTTCCAAGAGCTATAAAATTGACAAGCGTCATCTCTAAAATGGCTTCCATTTATATGATCGAAAAAAATCCTTGCGTGCATGTAATTGGGAGACAATTTTGACGAAGTGGAATTATGCCTGTGTTTAGCCATTTTTTAAACTTACCTTGACAATCTTTACCCGAATATCCATTCAAGCATTTGCACTGGTAACTTGAACTAGAAACAGTACATTTCCCGCCATTCAAACATGGATTCTTACTGCAGGGATTAACTTGGAAAACAAAATGATAATATGTCAAACATACAAAGCATATTGGATTAAAATAATAAGCCACTTTTTCTTACATTTTCCATGAACTAAATTGACAGCGTCATCTCTAAAATGACTTCCATTTTCATGATTGAAAAAAAAACATCATATGTAATTTGGAGAACATTTTTACGGAAGTGGAAATATGCCTGTGTTGAGCCATTTTTTAAACTTACCTTGACAATCTTTACCCGAATATCCATTCAAGCATTTGCACTGGTAACTTGAACTAGAAACAGTGCATTTCCCGCCATTCAAACATGGATTCTTACTGCAGGGATTAACTAGAAGAAAATGGAATAAAAGTGAAAATATGTCAAACGTACAAAGAATTTTGGATTAAAGTCATAAGAAGCCAGTTTATAAATATGTGATTTCTTCAATATTACACAAAACACTTACGCTTTCGTCTAAAACATTTGTCATCTTTTACAGATCGTTAAGATGGAATGTGAATATTTTCCAAGAGCTATAAAATTGACAAGCGTCATCTCTAAAATGGCTTCCATTTATATGATCGAAAAAAATCCTTGCGTGCATGTAATTGGGAGACAATTTTGACGAAGTGGAATTATGCCTGTGTTGAGCCTTTTTTTAAACTTACCTTGACAATCTTTACCCGAATATCCATTCAAGCATTTGCACTGGTAACTTGAACTAGAAACAGTACATTTCCCGCCATTCAAACATGGATTCTTACTGCAGGGATTAACTTGGAAAACAAAATGATAATATGTCAAACATACAAAGCATATTGGATTAAAATAATAAGCCACTTTTTCTTACATTTTCCATGAGCTAAATTGACAGCGTCATCTCTAAAATGACTTCCATTTTCATGATTGAAAAAAAAACATCATATGTAATTTGGAGAACATTTTTACGGAATTGGAAATATGCCTGTGTTGAGCCTTTTTTTAAACTTACCTTGACAATCTTTACCCGAATATCCATTCAAGCATTTGCACTGGTAACTTGAACTAGAAACAGTACATTTCCCGCCATTCAAACATGGATTCTTACTGCAGGGATTAACTTGGAAAACAAAATGATAATATGTCAAACATACAAAGCATATTGGATTAAAATAATAAGCCACTTTTTCTTACATTTTCCATGAACTAAATTGACAGCGTCATCTCTAAAATGACTTCCATTTTCATGATTGAAAAAAAAACATCATATGTAATTTGGGGAACATTTTTACGGAAGTGGAAATATGCCTGTGTTGAGCCATTTTTTAAACTTACCTTGACAATCTTTACCCGAATATCCATTCAAGCATTTGCACTGGTAACTTGAACTAGAAACAGTGCATTTCCCGCCATTCAAACATGGATTCTTACTGCAGGGATTAACTAGAAGAAAATGGAATAAAAGTGAAAATATGTCAAACGTACAAAGAATTTTGGATTAAAGTCATAAGAAGCCAGTTTATAAATATGTGATTTCTTCAATATTACACAAAACACTTACGCTTTCGTCTAAAACATTTGTCATCTTTTACAGATCGTTAAGATGGAATGTGAATATTTTCCAAGAGCTATAAAATTGACAAGCGTCATCTCTAAAATGGCTTCCATTTATATGATCGAAAAAAATCCTTGCGTGCATGTAATTGGGAGACAATTTTGACGAAGTGGAATTATGCCTGTGTTGAGCCTTTTTTTAAACTTACCTTGACAATCTTTACCCGAATATCCATTCAAGCATTTGCACTGGTAACTTGAACTAGAAACAGTACATTTCCCGCCATTCAAACATGGATTCTTACTGCAGGGATTAACTTGGAAAACAAAATGATAATATGTCAAACATACAAAGCATATTGGATTAAAATAATAAGCCACTTTTTCTTACATTTTCCATGAGCTAAATTGACAGCGTCATCTCTAAAATGACTTCCATTTTCATGATTGAAAAAAAAACATCATATGTAATTTGGAGAACATTTTTACGGAAGTGGAAATATGCCTGTGTTGAGCCATTTTTTAAACTTACCTTGACAATCTTTACCCGAATATCCATACAAGCATTTGCACTGGTAACTTAACTAGAAACAGTGCATTTCCCGCCATTCAAACATGGATTCTTACTGCAGGGATTAACTAGAAGAAAATGGAATAAAAGTGAAAATATGTCAAACGTACAAAGAATTTTGGATTAAAGTCATAAGAAGCCAGTTTATAAATATGTGATTTCTTCAATATTACACAAAACACTCACGCTTTCGTCTAAAACATTTGTCATCTTTTACAGATCGTTAAGATGGAATGTGAATATTTTCCAAGAGCTATAAAATTGACAAGCGTCATCTCTAAAATGGCTTCCATTTATATGATCGAAAAAAATCCTTGCGTGCATGTAATTGGGAGACAATTTTGACGAAGTGGAATTATGCCTGTGTTTAGCCATTTTTTAAACTTACCTTGACAATCTTTACCCGAATATCCATTCAAGCATTTGCACTGGTAACTTGAACTAGAAACAGTACATTTCCCGCCATTCAAACATGGATTCTTACTGCAGGGATTAACTTGGAAAACAAAATGATAATATGTCAAACATACAAAGCATATTGGATTAAAATAATAAGCCACTTTTTCTTACATTTTCCATGAACTAAATTGACAGCGTCATCTCTAAAATGACTTCCATTTTCATGATTGAAAAAAAAACATCATATGTAATTTGGAGAACATTTTTACGGAAGTGGAAATATGCCTGTGTTGAGCCATTTTTTAAACTTACCTTGACAATCTTTACCCGAATATCCATTCAAGCATTTGCACTGGTAACTTGAACTAGAAACAGTGCATTTCCCGCCATTCAAACATGGATTCTTACTGCAGGGATTAACTAGAAGAAAATGGAATAAAAGTGAAAATATGTCAAACGTACAAAGAATTTTGGATTAAAGTCATAAGAAGCCAGTTTATAAATATGTGATTTCTTCAATATTACACAAAACACTTACGCTTTCGTCTAAAACATTTGTCATCTTTTACAGATCGTTAAGATGGAATTTGAATATTTTCCAAGAGCTATAAAATTGACAAGCGTCATCTCTAAAATGGCTTCCATTTATATGATCGAAAAAAATCCTTGCGTGCATGTAATTGGGAGACAATTTTGACGAAGTGGAATTATGCCTGTGTTGAGCCTTTTTTTAAACTTACCTTGACAATCTTTACCCGAATATCCATTCAAGCATTTGCACTGGTAACTTGAACTAGAAACAGTACATTTCCCGCCATTCAAACATGGATTCTTACTGCAGGGATTAACTTGGAAAACAAAATGATAATATGTCAAACATACAAAGCATATTGGATTAAAATAATAAGCCACTTTTTCTTACATTTTCCATGAGCTAAATTGACAGCGTCATCTCTAAAATGACTTCCATTTTCATGATTGAAAAAAAACATCATATGTAATTTGGAGAACATTTTTACGGAAGTGGAAATATGCCTGTGTTGAGCCATTTTTTAAACTTACCTTGACAATCTTTACCCGAATATCCATACAAGCATTTGCACTGGTAACTTGAACTAGAAACAGTGCATTTCCCGCCATTCAAACATGGATTCTTACTGCAGGGATTAACTAGAAGAAAATGGAATAAAAGTGAAAATATGTCAAACGTACAAAGAATTTTGGATTAAAGTCATAAGAAGCCAGTTTATAAATATGTGATTTCTTCAATATTACACAAAACACTCACGCTTTCGTCTAAAACATTTGTCATCTTTTACAGATCGTTAAGATGGAATGTGAATATTTTCCAAGAGCTATAAAATTGACAAGCGTCATCTCTAAAATGGCTTCCATTTATATGATCGAAAAAAATCCTTGCGTGCATGTAATTGGGAGACAATTTTGACGAAGTGGAATTATGCCTGTGTTTAGCCATTTTTTAAACTTACCTTGACAATCTTTACCCGAATATCCATTCAAGCATTTGCACTGGTAACTTGAACTAGAAACAGTACATTTCCCGCCATTCAAACATGGATTCTTACTGCAGGGATTAACTTGGAAAACAAAATGATAATATGTCAAACATACAAAGCATATTGGATTAAAATAATAAGCCACTTTTTCTTACATTTTCCATGAGCTAAATTGACAGCGTCATCTCTAAAATGACTTCCATTTTCATGATTGAAAAAAAAACATCATATGTAATTTGGAGAACATTTTTACGGAATTGGAAATATGCCTGTGTTGAGCCTTTTTTTAAACTTACCTTGACAATCTTTACCCGAATATCCATTCAAGCATTTGCACTGGTAACTTGAACTAGAAACAGTACATTTCCCGCCATTCAAACATGGATTCTTACTGCAGGGATTAACTTGGAAAACAAAATGATAATATGTCAAACATACAAAGCATATTGGATTAAAATAATAAGCCACTTTTTCTTACATTTTCCATGAACTAAATTGACAGCGTCATCTCTAAAATGACTTCCATTTTCATGATTGAAAAAAAAACATCATATGTAATTTGGGGAACATTTTTACGGAAGTGGAAATATGCCTGTGTTGAGCCATTTTTTAAACTTACCTTGACAATCTTTACCCGAATATCCATTCAAGCATTTGCACTGGTAACTTGAACTAGAAACAGTGCATTTCCCGCCATTCAAACATGGATTCTTACTGCAGGGATTAACTAGAAGAAAATGGAATAAAAGTGAAAATATGTCAAACGTACAAAGAATTTTGGATTAAAGTCATAAGAAGCCAGTTTATAAATATGTGATTTCTTCAATATTACACAAAACACTTACGCTTTCGTCTAAAACATTTGTCATCTTTTACAGATCGTTAAGATGGAATGTGAATATTTTCCAAGGGCTATAAAATTGACAAGCGTCATCTCTAAAATGGCTTCCATTTATATGATCGAAAAAAATCCTTGCGTGCATGTAATTGGGAGACAATTTTGACGAAGTGGAATTATGCCTGTGTTGAGCCTTTTTTTAAACTTACCTTGACAATCTTTACCCGAATATCCATTCAAGCATTTGCACTGGTAACTTGAACTAGAAACAGTACATTTCCCGCCATTCAAACATGGATTCTTACTGCAGGGATTAACTTGGAAAACAAAATGATAATATGTCAAACATACAAAGCATATTGGATTAAAATAATAAGCCACTTTTTCTTACATTTTCCATGAGCTAAATTGACAGCGTCATCTCTAAAATGACTTCCATTTTCATGATTGAAAAAAAAACATCATATGTAATTTGGAGAACATTTTTACGGAAGTGGAAATATGCCTGTGTTGAGCCATTTTTTAAACTTACCTTGACAATCTTTACCCGAATATCCATACAAGCATTTGCACTGGTAACTTAACAAGAAACAGTGCATTTCCCGCCATTCAAACATGGATTCTTACTGCAGGGATTAACTAGAAGAAAATGGAATAAAAGTGAAAATATGTCAAACGTACAAAGAATTTTGGATTAAAGTCATAAGAAGCCAGTTTATAAATATGTGATTTCTTCAATATTACACAAAACACTCACGCTTTCGTCTAAAACATTTGTCATCTTTTACAGATCGTTAAGATGGAATGTGAATATTTTCCAAGAGCTATAAAATTGACAAGCGTCATCTCTAAAATGGCTTCCATTTATATGATCGAAAAAAATCCTTGCGTGCATGTAATTGGGAGACAATTTTGACGAAGTGGAATTATGCCTGTGTTTAGCCATTTTTTAAACTTACCTTGACAATCTTTACCCGAATATCCATTCAAGCATTTGCACTGGTAACTTGAACTAGAAACAGTACATTTCCCGCCATTCAAACATGGATTCTTACTGCAGGGATTAACTTGGAAAACAAAATGATAATATGTCAAACATACAAAGCATATTGGATTAAAATAATAAGCCACTTTTTCTTACATTTTCCATGAACTAAATTGACAGCGTCATCTCTAAAATGACTTCCATTTTCATGATTGAAAAAAAAACATCATATGTAATTTGGAGAACATTTTTACGGAAGTGGAAATATGCCTGTGTTGAGCCATTTTTTAAACTTACCTTGACAATCTTTACCCGAATATCCATTCAAGCATTTGCACTGGTAACTTGAACTAGAAACAGTGCATTTCCCGCCATTCAAACATGGATTCTTACTGCAGGGATTAACTAGAAGAAAATGGAATAAAAGTGAAAATATGTCAAACGTACAAAGAATTTTGGATTAAAGTCATAAGAAGCCAGTTTATAAATATGTGATTTCTTCAATATTACACAAAACACTTACGCTTTCGTCTAAAACATTTGTCATCTTTTACAGATCGTTAAGATGGAATGTGAATATTTTCCAAGAGCTATAAAATTGACAAGCGTCATCTCTAAAATGGCTTCCATTTATATGATCGAAAAAAATCCTTGCGTGCATGTAATTGGGAGACAATTTTGACGAAGTGGAATTATGCCTGTGTTGAGCCTTTTTTTAAACTTACCTTGACAATCTTTACCCGAATATCCATTCAAGCATTTGCACTGGTAACTTGAACTAGAAACAGTACATTTCCCGCCATTCAAACATGGATTCTTACTGCAGGGATTAACTTGGAAAACAAAATGATAATATGTCAAACATACAAAGCATATTGGATTAAAATAATAAGCCACTTTTTCTTACATTTTCCATGAGCTAAATTGACAGCGTCATCTCTAAAATGACTTCCATTTTCATGATTGAAAAAAAACATCATATGTAATTTGGAGAACATTTTTACGGAAGTGGAAATATGCCTGTGTTGAGCCATTTTTTAAACTTACTTTGACAATCTTTACCCGAATATCCATACAAGCATTTGCACTGGTAACTTGAACTAGAAACAGTGCATTTCCCGCCATTCAAACATGGATTCTTACTGCAGGGATTAACTAGAAGAAAATGGAATAAAAGTGAAAATATGTCAAACGTACAAAGAATTTTGGATTAAAGTCATAAGAAGCCAGTTTATAAATATGTGATTTCTTCAATATTACACAAAACACTCACGCTTTCGTCTAAAACATTTGTCATCTTTTACAGATCGTTAAGATGGAATGTGAATATTTTCCAAGAGCTATAAAATTGACAAGCGTCATCTCTAAAATGGCTTCCATTTATATGATCGAAAAAAATCCTTGCGTGCATGTAATTGGGAGACAATTTTGACGAAGTGGAATTATGCCTGTGTTTAGCCATTTTTTAAACTTACCTTGACAATCTTTACCCGAATATCCATTCAAGCATTTGCACTGGTAACTTGAACTAGAAACAGTACATTTCCCGCCATTCAAACATGGATTCTTACTGCAGGGATTAACTTGGAAAACAAAATGATAATATGTCAAACATACAAAGCATATTGGATTAAAATAATAAGCCACTTTTTCTTACATTTTCCATGAGCTAAATTGACAGCGTCATCTCTAAAATGACTTCCATTTTCATGATTGAAAAAAAAACATCATATGTAATTTGGAGAACATTTTTACGGAAGTGGAAATATGCCTGTGTTGAGCCATTTTTTAAACTTACCTTGACAATCTTTACCCGAATATCCATTCAAGCATTTGCACTGGTAACTTGAACTAGAAACAGTGCATTTCCCGCCATTCAAACAAGGATTCTTACTGCAGGGATTAACTAGAACAAAAACAAAAAACAAATAAAAGTCAAACTATGTCAACTTGACATACAAAGCATTTATAATAAAGTCATAAGAATAAGGAGATGTGGTATGACAATGAGACAACTATCCACCAAAGTTCAAATAAAGCGGATGTAAGCAATTATAGGCAACCGTTCGGCCTTCAACAATGAGAAAACACCATACAGTATAGTCGGCTATTAAAGGTCCCGACATGAAAAATATGAAACAATTCAAACGAGAAAACTAACCGCCTAATCTATAACAAAACAATTTACGAAAACCAAATATGACAGACATTAACCAACAACAACCACTGAACTACAGGCTCCTGGCTTGGGATAGGCGCATAAATAATGTGGCGGAATTAAACCTGTTCAAGTTGTGAGCGCTGAATCCCTCCCTAACCCGGGACACTGGTGTTACAGCACAAGAAAAGGGCTTATCTCATCAGATCGATACAAAGCAGAAAAAACACCAACAAAAACAAGGACCGGACGTGACAGGGTAACATCAAAAGCGACACAGAGTACACATCTGAGAGTACTCGCAGTTACTGACAGCTAGTTCAAAGCCAATAACAACTAATAAAAAAATTCGTGTATCTAAGTCGTGTATCTAAGTCTGAAAGTCCGTTTTTAAATGTGTTTTATTGAACTTGCGAACATTTGCCAGAACAACCTGTCAGAGAATAATTATAAGTTTATAAAGGGCCAACAAGTATACTAGTTAAATGACGCTTATTAGGACGAAAAAAAAACATTTGTCTTCATAATTAAAGATCCTTAAAATGCAATGTGAATAAATATTTCCAAAAGCTAAATTGACAAGCGTCATCTTTAAAATGGCTTCAATTTTCATGATTGAAAAAATCAGAACGTGTTATTTGGAGACAATTTTGACCAGGTGGATTTATGCTTGTGTTGAGCCTTTTTTTTAACTTACCTTGACAATCTTTACCCGAATATCCATTAAGATTTACACTGTTAACTTGAACAAGTTCTCGTTATCTAATTTAAATAGTAATAATAAACTCACCAAAGGCTGGTTTATTATATTATAGAAATTAAATAACTCGGGTTGATATCAAGCAATAACCAATTCACACTCGTTATTAAACCTATAAATATTGTTTCTTTACCTTGGGTTTTGCATAATTTATCGACCTGTATGATCATCAGTCTCAATTTTTCCAATTCTTTCTTCAAGTCTGAAATAATAGTACGAACACAATTCACGAAGACTCACAATATCATGATAATAACATTCTAATTGAAATGTGCGAGTTTGAATAAGTTTATAACTATAAACATTCTTCTAAAATAACAGACGTCGATAGACAACGCAACAATATACTCGTAAATGTTAATAAAAAAAAACTTAGTATCTAATTGAATACATTTTGAGTGTAGGAACTCCAGCGTGCATGATGAACAGATAACAACAACAAAGTATGCACAGTTAAAATGTAAGATGGTCTAAATGATTTGTGGAGTGAGTGTCGAGACGCTGGCAGCCTGAATAAAGTGTTGAAAATTTTCCACAGACGGAAACTAGGATATCTGGAGGTATGGTATTCCAAGATATGACAGGTATGAATGAATATTTGGAACAGTTTTAGTTTGGTTCTGATCTGTCTGAGGTTATTTGAAATTGAACCACCCTTTTTAATGCCATCCGTCGTGATGTTCATGGTCCACTGGGTGGATGTCCCCCTGAACTATCGCTTTATGACTAATTGTAATTATTTTAAGCAAAACAAAGTGTGTTACCTGGTACGGTTGCACAGCTACTGCATTCTTCGTCAACCAATTCTTGTTGTCTTTGTGAATGTTGCACAATGGTCGCACTGCATACTCCAATAATGACTACTAGTATGTAGATGTTCATTGTTATAGTTCTGTGTTTACGTATTGTGCAAACGGATAAGGACAGGACTTCTTATATATCATACGAGAAGGAAACTATAAGCTTAATGTTTTAAATAACTTCTGTTGTTATGGTTTGGCATAAATAGAATTCCATTTTCCGTCTCCATATTTGGAGATAATAAGTATTTACAATAATTTTGACCATATCACTTTTAGTCATCAGATTATAAATCAAATACTATTTTCCGTCTGCATGTTGTTTGGAGATAATAAGTTTTTACAATAATTTTTGCCATAACACTTTTTTAGTAATTAGATTAATAATAAAATTTACGGAAAAGTAATTTAAATTTTCAAGGAAGAACTTATATTTTCCTTATTACTCCTAAAAGTACTTCCTGGTCTTATACCAACTTGCGATTATTTTCAATTGTTTACAATAGTTGAAGTTAAAGCTGATTACATAATACATTGCTAAAGTAGCTGATTACATAATACATTGCTAAAGTATTCATTGGACCTTTTCATCGCCTTGGGCGGGGTAGGTCTTAAGTTCTAACTCTAGCTGGTGTAAACTTTAGTGTTTGTATTTGTTACTTCTTGCCTATAATTGTGAGAGCAAGGACTTCAGAATAGTATAAGTACGCCTTTCTGTGGACTATAGCCTATTGGGATAGCACGTTAGACTTCTACTTTGTGTGTCTGTACTATTACTAGTATACAAAACAGGATATATTTATGATAACATTAACATGACTTGTCATTGTGGTCTAAAATGTATGTGTTAATTTGTCGCTGGACCTTCATCATCGATTGTCATCACTTAATACCTCCCAATATCGGTATCAGTCTTTAATAATGTCAACCTTGATTTGTATTTCTCAAATAATAAACAAAACAGTGAAATTAATGAAAAAGGCCCAGACCAAGTTTATTTACACACCTATACGTTCAATGATGTTATTATGTCAATACTGGCTTTGTTTCAGTTTTTAAGATGTATATACGTCTTGAGTACAAACTTTTATGAATAATTCAAAATTGTTACATTTACACAATAAATCTCACACCGAACACCTGTTATAATGGGATTGCAACCTGTTATGAGCATCACGATGGTTGGCACTTAAAACGGGAGTATATAATACCTTTTTTTACCACATGCGTACACTCATAAATTTTAGTATTTTTGGCCTTCAGTTATCTGATGTGTTATTTTTACCGCGTGATATATTGTGTGTATTAAGAAAACATTTTGTATTGACCATACAGAAGATCTGTCATCAAAACCAATGCTATAAAGTACATAGAAACTAAGAGATAAACACTGACGATGTTTCTGACTTGTAACGAGGCAGAACTATTTGCATACTGAATTCCCTTTTTAACATGATTGTCACGAATCAGTCGACCATTTTATCATTATCATCACAATCACTAAAAAAGGTACACATTAGTTGTAATTGGCTTTGAAGTACCTTTCAGCAATTGCGAGTACTCTAAGATAGAACCTTGTATCTTTAGTCTTTTTGGTTTTTTTGTGCTTAGTGTCGACCTGATGAGTCAAACCTCAATCATCTGATTTTGACGGTTTGTTCTTTTTAAAGATAGAACCTTGTGTCTTTAGTCTTATTGTTAGTTGTTTTTTTTGTGTTTTTTTTTTTGGGGGGGGGGGGGGGGTTGTTGTTGTTGTTATTGTCGATCTAATGAGTAAAACCTCCATCTGCTGATTTGTACGGTTTGCTTCTTTTGTTTTGTTGTTACACCACTGTCCTTTACATTTTGTTCTTTTATTGTCGGCTGTTACACCACTGACCCAGCTACACGGACAAAATTTGCTCACGTGAATTTCACATGAATCTCACATGAAATTCACGTGAAAATTTTCAAGTGAGATTCACCTCAAACGAGCTTATGCATGAAACTCACGTGAAAATTTTCACATGAATTTCACGTGAACTTTACAAAAGAAAAATTGGTATTTTTCATTGTTTTGATTAAATTTGAAAATTTAGATGTTATTTGAATTATGTTATTTTAAAAATTCACGTGATTTAAAATCATGTGATTTTCACATGAGATTCATGTAAAACTCACATGAACTGATTTTACGTGAGTTTCACGTATAAGCTCGTTTGAGGTGAAATTCACGTGAGATTCACATGAATTTAAATTCACGTGAAATTGATGTGATTGAAATTTCCCTGTTTAAAAGGAGGATTGGGCGCTCGCAAAAACGTTTTAACCCATCAATTCTCTATGCGCATGTCCCAAGTCAGGAGGATCCTGTATTTCAGTGGTTGTCGTTGGTTGCTGTCTATCATATTTTTTTTCGATTATTTATTTTATAAATAAATCGTGCAGGTGGTCGGTTTTCTCGAATGAGACAACTATCTTTAACTATAATTAATATCTCCCAAGCCAGGATATTGTACATAGTCCTGAAGGACAGACAACGATGAAACAGCAACCCAAAAACTTCAGGTAATTAAAAAAATGTGCTCTGTGTGACATTTTATAATTGGACTTCATTATCAAACAAGAGGAAGTTCAACCTTACATAAATATATAAGCGTGTGTCATTGTGTACATAAATAAGATAAGATAAGATAAGAATTTTATTAATCTAATCAAGAACCCATGAAGGGCATCATTTACAACAATATTAAGCACAATATGATTGGAAAAAAGAAAAAACTAGATCCTAATATAATACTATCATATTATGGACAGGATCAGAGCCTAACACATCATGTGTCTTACATAACTATAACAATAATTTCATAATAATTAAATATTATTTTATATATTTTGTATCCACCTGGATCTTATTTCTAAACACTTAATAATATAATTGCCTAGGCACATAAGAGTTGGTAAATGCTCATTTGTGAACAGCCAGAAATATTTTTTATCCTTGGATAATTCTTTAAAATTAGTACAAAAACTGTTTACTTTATCCCATAATAATTTTCTCTGTTCGTTATATAAAGGACAACTTACTGTAAAATGGGTCTCATCTTCAATAGAATTTGATCCATGTGATAGGCAGTGATGACATAGACGCTGAGTTCTCTCTATGTATTTTTTACTATATCTATCTTTCTCAATTTTAAGATCATGTGCACGTATTCTCATTTTACATATAGCTCTTCTTATATTAAAATCTTTAATTGACAAATAAGACTCCTTTACGAAGTCAGTCTTGAGGTTGAAATAATTTTCTAATTTACTATACTGACCGACTTTAGAAACGCAACACTAGATTATTCTTTTTAAATTTTTGAATGAATGTGGCACTGTCAAAAGCAATTACTGCCTATAACAAACGCCAAAATGATTGTCAGAAGATTAACCAATTCTGTTCCACATGTTTTGGGTTCTGTTTTACACCTTCTGAATATGCGTTTGTTCCACCCATTACAATGGGTTTTGGCAATTATGCGATTAAAACTTCAGGGCTTTCAATGTTTTTCTTCAGTCGATTCTTTGGCAGTTCAGATTATGGGAAACGTTTATGGCATGAATCTGTGCGCAATGGAATTCGGAAATTTGATAAACAGCTGACGTTGCGGCCGTAAACATGTCTCGCAAATGACGTTGCGTAATCAAATTCTATTGACGTTGCATTGTCACTACATGATGATCTGGTCATTGATGGTCAGCAACAAATCCTGTCTACCTGTATCGATCAGACGAGTTTCTGAAGTCAAACTGTATGGTTGCAGCACGTTCACCTTTTCTTGTTTGCATTATTCTTATGGGCTGATTCAGGTTTTTATTACTCAGTTTTGGCAATATGGAGATGCAACATTTTTTAACTGATTCAAGTGTGACCAAGGATTGAAAGAACTGTTTCCCCAAAAAAAAAAAAACTGGAAAAATCTTTTATGGGTTCCAAATTTCGCTTTAAGAAATTCGTGCGACTTCAAAAATCCGGTATGTTCAATAACCACAGGTAAGTCAGATGTTGATTTTTTCTTAAGAGAAAGAAGTATGGTAAGCATTAATAGTAGTTGTATGAGAATCAAACATGATGTGGGAAAAAAAATCAACAAAATGAGTGTTGCGTTTTTAAAGTCAGTCAGTATATTACCTTGTGATAAGGTATCAGATCTTTTGACCACCCAAAATGTCTTAAAACTGTTACAAAGTTTACATTTTACAGATTTAATTAATTTATTGAGCTTTGTATTCAAATTTTGTATATCAAGTGATTGAAGGATATATCTCATAGATGAATACCAACAATTAATGTTTCCTGCATCTAAAATTGTATTACAAACATAAGCATCATAAAGTAACCCATCTTCCAATTTGTTAAGCCTGTGTACATATTTTACCATAGATATAATGACAGAAAAATAAAGAGGAAATCTTGAAACCTCTGATAACACTGCCAAATTTGAGGCTTTTTTATTTACACCAAGAATATATTTTAGATACCTGAAATGTGATTTTTCCAAATAATCATTTATGTAAATTAATTCAAATAGATAATCACTTTTTTTCTTGCAAGCAGCAGAGTTAATCTTAAATGTACCCCAAATTTCACTACAATATAATAAAATTGGTTTTATTGTGTGATCATATAAATGGATTGCAGTATCAATACTTGGATTACAAGCTGACATGGATTTTTGTAGTTTAAATTTTGCCTTTAAGGACTTTTAAGTTTTTGAATAGCTCTTCTTTCCCCTGCTGAAAAAGACCACTAGAAGTAAAGACTATCCATCCCTAAATATTTATATCTGTTAACACATTCTATAGCCTCATTATCTAAACAAAGTGATTCCTTCAAAAATTTTCAAGGTTTGTTAAAAATTAAAACTTTTGTTTTGGACAAGTTTACATCTAGACACCAATCAATACAATAAGTGTGCAGTTTATCAAGTCGGTTTTGAAGACCATGTTTAGTGTTTGATAATATAATAATGTCATCGGCGTACATATGACAATCAATCTGGACTCGACTCAAATCTTGGAGGCAGTTCGTTAATTAAAAGCTTAAATAAATTCGGGCTTAGAACATCCCCTTGCCTTACCCCAACTA